AATTCTTATATATAGATTTCTCATTCGGGTTCTTGCTTCTCTGTCACCTACAATCTCGATAATTATAAACGCAACGCCAATTGCCATCTTCTATCTTCTTAATTCCTATTCTTTTATTTCCCTGTCTCCTCATTAACGTCTGCTCAGTCTTTTTCATTCCCAGTAACCCATTACGTCTTAGTGATATTATTACCTTTCTTGGAAAGAAAAGACACCCCCACAAAAAAACAAAACAAAAAAACCTATTGAGTTGACTAAGCTGTCCAGTTTTGAATGGTAACCAGTCTAAGAAAAGAACAGCTTTGAATTCAAAACCAGGAACAGGTGAACCACTCCGCTATCTTTCCCAAGAGTTTATGTAAAGTCAAAGTATAAAGAAAAATAATTTATGGAGAGTCATATTTACATAAGTCCTGAAGGAACATGATATTTTAGAAAACTTCTGTACAGTAAATGTTCAAAGTTCTTCTAAGAATAAGAAAATATTTAAATGGAATCCCACCTCAGACGGAGAACATTCTGATTATGTTGATATATTGAAGGCTCTCCAGGAAATAGCTACGATTTTATTTATTTGTAGATTTTCATAAGACATGCGGGACCCCCCCCCACACAAAAAAACTGTTTTTCCATTGTTACCATTATTATTCTAACTAGAATCACTCCTTGAAAATGTTTATTGTTTTAAAAAGAGATGATTAGAATTGTGATAAATCATGAACATATGAGGAAAGTGAATTTATATATTCTTTTTGTTCTTGAGAATTTCCAATAAAAATATTAATCTCTATTTATTTATTAGATTGTTTATTTACAAGAATACTTTTACATTTACAACATTCTTAAACTAATACAATTATATTAAAATTAATGCAATGCAATATTTATCATTTACCAGTTTATAAAGAAAGAAATACGAAAAAAAATTATTCATGTTCAATATAACGCTGAACTCTATCTTCAATTATCCGACAAACCATCTGACACATTTTTTTTCTCACATTTGTGAGAAAATCTAACAAAAATACTTTGCTTCAATTCAGCATGTTTTTTCGGTTCGCGTCTCTAAACATGATCTTTCAGTACAGCCCACTAGAAAAAGTCTGGTGGTGTTAGGTCTGGTGATCATGATGCCAACTCAATTGCTCCACATTATCCTACCCACCTCAGCTCGACAAAAAAAAAAAAGGTGTTACTTTTTACCCTGAACGTTTCTATGTCTACTTTAATTATGGACTGCCGATAAGTAAATCATTTAATATAATGTGCTCAAGCTTTTGAGTGTGTGTCGCTCCTGGCAATATCTGACCCTCGGAAGGGTCTCGGATATTTATCTGGTGCTTGAGGCATGCCCAAAATAAACATTTAGCAGTTGTTTTTTTTTACCTTAGTTCAACGCATTTTAAACTCAAGCTTGTGTCATATTGCCATTGAATAAGCAAGAGGATAAATTCATTTCTCTGATTTTACGCACTGAGTGCAAAACATAGAACCGAGAAGCTTTTGCATCAACCTAACGATAAGGACAGAATTTTATATAAATCGCTTGCGAGAAACGCGCGCTTTTATTTGACCTGATTCCCGTTACAAGTATTACCACTGAAAAAGAAAAAAAAACGCGGGAAACTATGGAAATAAAATCCTTCTATCGTCATCTTCATTCATTATTGCGTTTCTGGACGTGTCAGACAATCTGTCTGACTGAACGCATTCGAAGTAGTAAAGAGGCAGGCATTGGAAATCAACACGGAAAGTGAAGAACGAAAAGACCTTTTCCAATTCGGGTAATTGCCATGGCTATTAGCTTCTAATTTGACAATTATGTGCAAATGATGACTACAGTCGCCAGCTACGCCATTACGAATTGGTTAGGGCAATAATTCAGAAACGATCGATGCAAAGTTAACACCCAGTGTGCTCGTCTGTCCCTGTGCCGGCAATATCTATAGAAGCCAAGTGCTGTTATTACATGGGCAAGTTATGGTAAAGTTACAGATATATATATATATATGTACAGGTCTAGATTGATTTTGCATTCACTGAAAATCACACTCTCTACAAAACAAGCTTGCGTATTATTGGACGTACCCTAGTTATATTACATATTTAAAAGTTTACCATTTGACCGTACTTTGTATGTTGTTACATTTGATATGGTGCTCTTGCTATATATATATATATATATATATATATATATATATATACATATCATATATATATACATATCATATATATATACATATCATATATATATATATATATATATATATATATATATATATATATATATATATATTATAAAAAACCCAAAGAAGTATCTGCAATGTTATTAGTCTTGAACTGGCATCTCCCTTTCAGTCAACGTAACGTAGCTTCCATGTTCCTTTTCTTTCCTTTTCTATAAATACTTTCATGGTAATTGTTCTGATGAACTTTTCTCTATGGTACATAGGCTTCATGAATTTAAGTGTACTACTAGATTGGCGGCAAGTTCTCATCATTTTACAGTTGAAATGGCTAGGTGTAACCGTAAGTTCTATACTAACAGTGTCTTCTATTGCATCTCTCATTTGTGGAACATTTTTCCCAGCCAAATTTGATCTTCAAAAATGTAAATGCTATGTCAGTCGTCATGTTCTGTCTTTTTAATTCTTGTTTTTTTTTTTTAATTGTTCTCTCTTCTAAATAGTGCTTCTTTCTCATATTCTCTAACACTCGGTAACTCCTTGCGTCTTAGTGGCTTTATTGCCTTGCATGGTGTGAAAAGGTTAAAAATATTTAAAAGCTTAGAAAATTTTCTATATTCTTGATATGTATGGAGTGAAACAAATTATAGGCTAATGGTTACATTACCTTTTAATGGATAATAATTCACCAAATACCAGGCTTGAAAGCCACTCAATTTAGAAACGTTTAATTAAGAATATAAAAAATTAATGAAGTATGTAATATGAATGAAAATGGAGTTGGTAGGAAGAAAACATAATGAGGAAAAGGAGGATAGATAACGATTGATATTTGACTCAGAACTATAATAGTGAGGCACCCAATGAGATTTTCACACTTACACTAGACACTCGGAGATATCAAGTTGTGAATTATTTTTTAATGTCAGGCGACCGAAATGTTCAGTAAACTTATTCCGAGGATGTCTTTGTCTTTTTTAAAACTGGAGAAGTTTTGCTTGTTTTTTTAAAAAAAATCAACCTCTTGTCCTTTTCGAATCTGTGACACTAGACAAAAATGCCAATGAGAAACATTTCAACTATTAATGACACAGGAGCTAAAATAGAGAGAACGAGACACTTATTTTTTATTAAACGTTGATCCAATAAAAAGCCCAAGACCTACTCAAGGCAGAGGTTGTTTTTCAGATTAAGAGAGTCTAAATGATCTTCCAAGGAAACATACCTTCCCGAATATTCGATTTTGGGCGTGAATAAAAAATTAATGATATTGATTCTTTTGCCTGAACTTTGCTTTACAAAAGCAACGTATCTTGAATGGCCATTGTAAATCGAATTCATTACTGGTGACATTTAAGATATGTGTAATTTCGGTCGTAGGTACAGCCTTAGATTTTAATGCTATTAATGTATCCTCACGTTTTAGTTCTATAGAAACATTACGTACAATTTCACCAATAAACATTCTTTTATAATTTAAAAATAAATGGTGGAAATTCTTTTATTCCAGCAGTACAAGGCCCAAGAACCATTCAATGCAGAGATCTACTGAATAATAGGAGGAGGCAAAAAGTGCAGTGATGAGAATATGTAGCATAAAAAACTGTTGACCATAAACTTGATGAGGTTAAGAGTGTAGTTATCAGGGAAGTATACTCTTGGGAGTCTGTTTCATAAATTAACAATTCCCAGGAAGAAGTTTCCTGAGCAGAACATCTTTTTTACCAAAGTAATACGAAGAGAATGAGGGTGATACCATCTTGTTAATGTGACAATGTTGGAAAGGTATGATCTGGAGTCATTAATGTCGCTCGCTTGAACATTTTCGATGGAAGTTGTGATAAGCTTGCGACGTTTCATCTGTGGGAAAAGGACTATCCACAGCGTATGTAAGGTCGACTGTAGAAACATTTCCCTTGTCATGGATTACCTATAATTATCCAGTTGTATAGATAATAAAACTTGTAACTTAATAAGCAGGAAATATTTGCATTTTTTACCTGTCGTACTATGCGTAGTGAGGTAGTTTTGGAAGCTAGTTTAACTGACTATTTGACATCAGTTATAACTGAATGTCTAACTGTTGTGACTTTCTGAATAAACTAAAATCATTAAATTTATCTTTGAATTGGGATAACATTCTCGGCTGGCATGAAGTGGAAAGATTATATGAAATTAATTGCTCGGTCTGCTACAAAGAAATTTTGTTCACTGTGTCGATTTAGATACTTTTACTCTCCAGAAACTATCTTACGTATTTATAAGGCTACCATTCGTACATGCTTTGAATATTGCTGCCACATATGATCAGGTGCTCCTGCTAGGTATTTAATGATTCTTGATAAAATCCAAAGAAGAATCTGCAATATTACTGGTCTTGACATAGTATCTCAGCTTCAGTCACTTTCCCACGGCCCTAATGTAGCTTCCCTGTACCGTTTCTATAAATAATTTCATGGTAATAGTTCTGATGAACTTTCCTTTATGGTGACTAGACTTTATAAATTTAAGCACAATATTAGACCAGCAACAAGGTTTCAACATTTTGCAGTTGAATTGGCTCGATGCAACCGTAATTTCTATGCTGTCACTGTTCTCGCACTTCTCACTGGTGGAACTTCCAGATTCATGATTTCCATCCAAATTTGATCTTCAAAAATTTAAATGCAATGTCAATCGTTATGCAGCGTATTCGTGATTCCTCGATTTTTATTGTTTGCGTTACTTTTTACTTATTCACTCAAAAGCAGTAACCCCATGTTTCTTAGTGGCTTTACTGCCTTGCTTAGGGTGAAATAATAAATAAAAACTAAGCCTATCTATCTATCTATCTATCTATCTATCTATCTATCTATCTATCTACTCTCTTTATTCTCTCTGTACTCTCTCAATAGACTCTATTTATCTACTCTCTCTATACTCTCTATCTACCCTCTCTCTCTAATTTCTCTATCTACTCTGTATTTATCTACTTTCGTCATCTACTCTCTCTCTCTCTCTCTCTCTCTCTCTCTCTCTATCTATCTATCTATCTATCTATCTACAGTCTTTATCTACTCTCTCTCTGTATCTACTCTCTCTCTCTGTATCTACTCTCTGTCTTTATCTACTCTCTCTATCTACTATCTGTATCTCTCTATCTTCTCTCTATATCTACACTCTCTCTCTCTTTATCTATTCTCTCTATCTACTCTCTCTCTATCTCAGGTCCATGCTACCCTCTACCGAATTACTGTATTTGGCAATAGATTGGCAAATTTAACTGACAAGCCAACAGACCCATAATTTTTTTCCCCTCTTTTGCCGAAATGGAAGGTAGAGGGTCATTGAACATGCTTCCCACACGCTTTTTCGAGTTGAAATGAGAGACTTGAAAATAGGAAGGAAGTGTTTTATAAATAAAGATGAAAACAAACAGAAATTAAACAAAGAGAAATGATGGTAAAGAAGAAGAAAAAGAAGGCGAAATAGAAAATAGGAACGAAAACTGAATAGAGAGTAGCGCTTTTAATGTTTATAGAAAGGCTTCTCCGTATTACAACAACAATAACTCTTCCAATGAATTGAAATCTTCCTCCAAAAGATGGCGCCATGATTTAATGAGAATATGTCTGCGCGTGTAAAAGGCTGCAGCCTGTAGGATTTGAGAATATTACAAGGGGGAAAATGTGAAGAAAACGTCTAATTTTCAACAGCTACTGTGGTGAATAATTACTTTAGAGTCCATGTTAAAGTAAGCGACATTTGCAATCAACGAAGGAAGTTACAAAAAAGTGATTTTGAAAGATTTATATATATATATATTTTATAGGCATCCTCTTATCCTCCATCTTGTTTGGCTTTTGTCTCTTTTTTTACTGTTTGATTAACGGTTTGTTCAGTCGTCAATTTCAAATTCGCTTTGAAATTGTTGCAATGTGTTTTTTCGTCTTTATCTTCACAAAGAATAATAAATTATTCTCACGTCGACTGATTTCATGTTTTTTCGTCATTATCATTGTTTTTTTAGACAAGGCTCTCTCTCAGAAACACATACGCAGACGCATTCACACACGAACATTCATTCTTAATCAAACTTACACGTATTGTACAAGATACACACACAAATATAATCATAGCACGCTCAAACGTACACAAATCTCACATACAAGCACACTCTCATTTTTTTTTATTAAATGTCATATCACTTCCGATCATGACTCTCCACAGATGCTTTCCTTTATTATCTAGGAATTGCTATGCATAGAATATATTAGAGTGGTTTTCTGCCTGCTGCTCCCACTGCTATTATAGCACTTCACCACCTTTGCCCTTAGTTTTCTTTATTCACTGCCTTGCTAGGAAGCTTGACTCTCTCAGCCACCGTTTTTTCTTCATTAGAAACGCTGGGATAACAACAATAAAAATGATGATTTATCCGAATGCTAATAAGGCAAATAACATATATATCAGTCACGTTCTAAAAATGCATGGCAGAGAACGCGACAGTTAGATGATCTATCCTGTGGTTGAGATAGTTGTTTGTCGCCTGTTGTTCATGGTCGAGTGTGGGCGAAAGTATTTTTTTGAGCATTTCCCCCCAAGCAAGGCGGGAGTGCCACCAGCACGCAGGGGGCTACACAGAGTGGGAACAAGATTAAAGAGGCGTGATAGAGGGAAGGATGAAGAGAAAGGCGGGGAATTAGATCAAGGCATCTGAAGATGTCGATTGACATTGCATTTGAATAATTGTAGATTATAGCTAACAGGGAAGCAAGTAAGACGGGAAGCGCGAAGTTATTGGAGTAGAAGAGATGGCTACATGTAACAGTTTCGACATTTCAATGATGAATTTTAAAGCAAGCAAATTAGGCCTTTTCCGGGGGAGAACTGGCGCAGAATGTTCTTCATTCTCTTATTTCTTTCAATTTTTGCTTTGTAATTTTCTGATACAGCCATAGTAAATGCTGAGTTTCGTGTAAAACAGATTTCTAAATTTTGATAAAATCAGCAATGATAATGATATCAATCAGGATAAATAATCGAATTTAAAAAAAATCCTATGGACATGTACATTAAGCTTTATACTTCATAGATTCTGATAATTTTCATTTTTAATTCCTTATTTTAGAGTTCTTTTTATTCCCTGTTATAGAAATTCCAATTTCTCCACATTCTTTATCTTTTTAACAAAAAGAAGTATTCTGAATAATTTTACGCATATGTTTGTGGACAATTATGTGTATTCTGCCAGTGTGTGTCACTGTAGGATCGTGTGTTTATATCTGAGACTGTGAGTGTCATTGGAGATTCGTATATTTATATCTGGGATTTCATCTGTGTGTGATACTGAATTCGTGTGCTTTTAATCCGGATTGTGCGTCTGTATGCGTGTATGTCTGTGAGTTTGTTTTCTTATAACTGATATTGCGTGTGTCATTGTAGGTTCGTATATTTCATGTATGGGATTTTGTGTGTGAGTTCGTGTGCTGGGTTTGTGCGTCCGCTTGTATGTATGTCGATGTGAGATTTTCTGTTTATACCTAGGATTGTGTGTATCAATGCATGTATTATATTTATCTTTGGTATTTCGTGTGTGTGCCACTACGAGTTAGTGTGCTTTTAACTGGTATTGTCCGTCTGTGTGTGTATGTGACTTGTGTGTTTATATATGGGATTGTGTATATCACCGTAGGTTCTTAGGTTCATATCTGGTATTTCGTATATGTATCACTATGGGTATGTCTTCTTTTCGCTGGGATTGTGCGCCTGTGTCCGTGTTTGGCAACATGTCTATACCTGGGATTGTTTGTATCACTGTAGGCCCGTTTGATTATATCTGGAATTTCGTATGTGTGTCATTGTGAGCATGTGTGATGGTATTGTGCGCCAGAGTGTGTTTGTATCAATGTGAGTTTTTTGTGCGTGTGAGTTCAGTATATATATATATATATATATATATATATATATATATATATATATATGTGTGTGTGTGTGTGTGTGTGTGTGTGTGTGTAAAAGTGTGTGTATATAAATATAATATATATATATATATATATATATATATATAATTATTTATATATAATATATGTGGTACTTATTATTTGTCTGACGATTGCAAAAGCGTGAAACCCAGGGTCACAAACTATATATATATATATATATATATATATATATATATATATATATATATATATTTATATATATATATATATAATTTTGTGTGTATTTGAATTGGCTTTTATATTTTCGTACGTACATGCGATTGCTTACAATCAAGTCATGCTGAATGCAGCTGTCCTCTTTCGATCACCGAATTTAAGTCGCATCGATCCCCGATCAGTAAATAGATTGGTGTGTGGGGTGCTGGGGAACACCGGGTACTGTAAGCAACGTCGAAGCAATCTTTCGAATGCGCGGATAGTGTACTATCGACACAGAATGTGAAATCAGAGACTCGAGTTCAAATTCCGGCCTATTTTGCAGTCTTCGCTTTCGTATTAACACTCTTGGAAAAGGCATAAATCCATCTCTTCTCCCACGGCTATGGGTTAAATAACATAATACAACGGGGCCTTTAGTCTTGCGTGGAAATCAATCTACTACAAAGAAAACTATCACTTCTAAACCGTACAAAAGACAACAGAAAACCACACCAATTTCCCATGAATGCATGGCAGTTACTCGATATTAAAGGTAAGGAAGCTGTGGAAAGTCATGATCGCCTGATAATTACAATCTTTAAAAATTTAAACGTAACTTCAACCGTCATCTTCTGTTGCCTTGATCTCCGTTCTTTTTTTTTTTTATCTTTTCCTCAATCCCTCTATATCCAGACTTTTCTATCACTTTCACTCTATGTAACCCTTTGCGTGCTAATATCACTCCCGCCTTGCTGTGGGAGAAATGCTTAAAAAGTTCTCTGAAGGTTACCTGAGCCGACAAACACCTGTAGAAGGCTGAAACTTCGTGATAATGACGCTAGAACATTAGACTGAATTTAAATAATGATGACTTCGTATCTCTGAACCCCCCCCCCCCAAAGAAAAACGATATATATTTGCGTATGTATGTTATCCTATGTGCATGAGTGTGTTTATTTGTGTCTTTTTCTTTAGTGTTCAGGCATCCTTTCACCTTGCGAGATAAAGGTAGCGCTCTGTTTGGTCAAAATTCAGTCCTTTAGTGATGACGCTGCGTAGATTCTGAAAAATGGTACACGGAAGCCATGCATTGCCCAGAATAATGCCCCCACTCTCGGCTATACCGAAAAGATCCAAAGGAAAACAGGGCATTATATTTAGAAACGGTTTGTCTGCAGGAATTCGAGGAATTGACACTCAAACGGTTTCGGGGCTCCATTCCGGGTTTTCTGTCTGGATTTACTTCCATAAATATGTTCTTTTCTAATAATGGCTTTTTAATCAGAATAGTCTAAAGAAATTTAAAATTACAGACAATGTGCCTGCGTATCCTTCTGTGTAGGATAAACTACCGCTTGACCGGCTATGAAGGGCGTCACAGTACATCAAGGGTCTATTTTCCCTTTTAAGAAAAGCACATTTCCTCGCTAAGATAATTTTTCTCGGAAATCCATATCTGCTCAGTTTTGTATACAAAACGTAAACGTTTACGTTTCGGATAAAAAAACTGAGTAGGTATTAATATCATTTGAAGTGATATAAATGTCGGCTTAAAAATACACCCATTAATTCTTTAGAAATATTTACATATGTATATGTGCTCACATACATACATACATACATACATACATACATACATACATACACACACACACACACACACACACACACATATATATATATATATTGTTAAATATAACAGAAAACGCATGTCTATTATGTTTGATCATGAGCTGTTCTAAGCTTCGTATAATGGATTTATTTTCAAAAGAACATATATATATGATATATATTTGGTTGGATTGATTTGAGTTTGTCACCCTGTGTTTCACGCTTTTGCGATCGTCAGACAAAAGGCAAAAGCATGAAACCCAGAATCACAAACTCACATCAATCCAACCAATTATGTTAGCTCTATCTCTGATATTGAGCGCTTTTTAATAAGTTCCGCGCTCATAATATATAAATAATTATATATATATATATAACGTCATCCACAGACAGACTGTTTCGCTGTTTCACAGCTCATCATTGTGGCTAGACATCCGGTTGCCTGTAGCTAGGATCGAAACCCGACTGAATTGGTGTCAGTCGGAGATTCTAACCATAAAATAAATATGTATATATATATATTTTATATACACACACTTTTCACACACACAC